GGGGGGGGGGATGTTACATGTGTTGCTGGCATGTACTGTGAAGTGGGGCCTACCATAGTTGTGTCTGTACTGAAAATGTACAGACTTGCTCTCTTGTTATTATTCCTAAACAACAGAGTGTACCAACCATATGAACAGCATTTACATTGTAACAGGTATTACAATTAATCTAGAGACTGTACAAAGTACACAGGAGGTGCGTATTGGTTATATGCAAACACTACACCATTTTAGGTAAGGGACTTGAGCATCCATGGATTTTTGTATCCAAGGAGTGACTATAATTATTTCTTTCCTGTTATTTTGATCCTATCGATTTTTCCTTCTTTTTGGAGAGAGGAGATTGTTTTCAGTGCCTTAATACTTCATCTAATTTATCTATTCCCACCATACTCCTTGGAAAGAGAGGAGGCAACGGGTAGGCCCATCTCAAGTTTTTAAATACTATTCTTTCAAAGGCAATGGGCTGATGAAGCAAAAGTCAGTCACTAGAGTAAGATGCTCAAAGAATATGTTCAATGAAACACATTAGTGAAAACTCGAATCATGACTTAAAGCTAACAGGGACTTGGTATAAAACCCCCAAAAGATATTAATTCAGCGTCCTTGCCAGCAAAGAACAAACTCAAAATCTTTTATCACATTAACAAAAGTGCCTGTTCTTTCTTCTTCTTCTCTTTTAAGTCGAATAGTCACTAAATATTTCCTTAATACCACTCAGGTCTAGAGAAGGGGAGGTAAGCCGTGACAATTGTAATTTAGCATCATTTAAACACAAAATATCTGATCGCCTAACTTTTCCAATTTTTTCCACGATGTAGACACAACCAAATAAGACATATTTATTTGTAGATCGAGACAAAGATCGTCAGCCGGTTCTCAATACCATGGCAACGTTAAGATGCCGTCGTCCTGCAGTTCCGTACCTCAACGAGCCCCTGCAGTATCCTAACAAAGATGACACACCCATAGTGCACTCTGGCTGCTGATGGGATTAGCATATTCAGGGTAGAGGTAAGAAGTATGGCAGCTCCAAAAACCCTGAAAAACAAAAGGAATTCATAGATCTAAATTTCTCAGGTCAAGTTCATCACAAGCCATTTTAAAGTAGAATGTTTTTCCTAAACGGGTAAAGTATGTTCTGGACTTGACTGGCTAGAGCCATCGCAAACAGATGCGCGGACTGTCTAAAAATGCTAGAAATACAAGAAATAAAAGAAGAATCCAAAAAATCTGGTTATACTTACTTGTATTTATGTTCTTCATAGATGTACTTACAAATCGCAAATATTTAATGAATCACTGCATATGTTTTTGATCTGTATCTCAGTCTACAACGTAAGCTGCTTAAGGGGTAGAGCCTATTTTCAGATACACTGGTATATCCCCAAAGCTATGTGTTGGGCACATAGCAGATACTCACTGAAGAGCTGTTGGAAAAATAATAAATGCCTGAATGGAGTTGTGCCTCACATTATACAACTATTTTTAAGGTCCTTAAATGAGTACATCCATGAAAATTTTATGAATGATATCATATTTGAAATGCCCCAAGAAATCTCATAATCAAATCCCATAGCACATGTTTTTGTAATCAAAGTAACTATTACTTAATATATATGTCTCAGTTTCTTTTTTCATGTGGATAGATGGGACAATGGTGTTTGAGGCACACCTCTGTGCCTACACATACATAACAATTTAAGAAAAAAAATGCTGGCATTTTTATCCATCTGCAAGTAAAAAGTCCATTTCATCATTTAAAAAATATTTTATAATATTCATACTAAGCAAGTAAAACATCCTCATAACTGGGTAACTAGAGAGATTATCTTGCATGGAAGTTTTGGGACATACCATCTCTGATGAGCTTAGCTAGGTGTCCTGTGCAAGTTTTCTCAAGCCAAACATTGAGCCTTTTACTCAGTCAAAATTGGTTGCCTCCTAGAAGCTCTAATTCTTCCAGGGGGCACATTTCAATGTAACTGTGAAAGACCTGGGTTTCTGAAAGGAGCCTTTGTCATTATTCATCTGCCACTGAAATTTGAGAAATGACTTCGGGAGGGTTGAAGAGGATCAGCTCTTTTTCTATGAACCACAGACCAGGTCACATACTTTTATTTGCTTGATGCCGTCCGATATCCCGTCCTCGGAGGGTTCCCTCCACTGAGGGAAACAGTGACTCGGAAGGTGCATGTTCTGTTCCATTTTCTTCCGTGCTGTTTGCTGAATCGGTATCTTTATGTTTGCGTCGAAACATAATTTATTTCCTCACTGACACAAAATAGAAACTTTCTATTTCTAGAAATAACCATTCCCATAAAATGCCACACACCCAGTGACATTAAACTTCTGCCGAGTATGGATTTACTTTTCAGAAAACAAATGCAGAAATCCCATAACCCGTCTTTGTGAAATAAGAGCCCAACATTATTATAAAAATTGTTTTTAAATGTATTCTAATTATTGATTATGCCTTCTAAATTGGAAGGATTTCCGCCTCTCTTAGGTCTACAATCTAAATGCTCTGGTGTGCAATCCCCAGAACACTTTGGAGGCGTCCTTCGGAGCTGAGAGGAAATAGGAGGAGTGTATGGGGCATGTCTCCTGGGCCTGGTGTTAAGTGGCGCATGTGCCCAAGGCCAGCGAGGCAAACGTCTCCCACTGTGCTGGGAGCTCGAATGCAGTACCTGCGCGACAGAAGGGAAGGTGGAAAGGGGCAAAGGGCACTGGCGTTCTGGGCCTGTGAGTGGGCTGTCTGGGCACCGGCAAACTTGGGCTGTCTTTCTGCAGATCCATTTGCCTCTGTCTATTATCGCTGATAATAGTGAGACGGATTGCTTAAGGCTTTAAGGATAAAGAGAACCAGAGCTGCATAATGCTACAGGATTTTTGAAAGTGTTTGTATGAGTTATGCATCCACTCTATCCAGCCCTTTGGAAGAATCTTTCAAGTTGTCATCTATAAACCAGCTGCATCAGAATTTGCCAAGTGCTTATTAAAAATGCAGATTTCTCACTCCAGACTTTTCAAATCAGAATGTGCTGGGAGTGAAGCCTGGAAATCAGTGTTTTAATAAGCAGCCAGGTTATCATTTCATGTGCAAAAAAAAAAAAAAGCCACCGCAAGGTTTTTACCCAGGTTTATCTAGCTGGTGTGTTTTCTTTTCTAATAATTATTTTGAAGCTATGAAGCATGAAGTTTATCTTCTATGACTGTACCTTCCAGTCATCACTTTATCCCTCTTTGAAGGGCTTTAAAATACTGCTATCTCCAGATAAGCTGCAGAGAGATTAACTACCCATTCTTTCCCCAGCTTCCACACCGCTCTTTCGGGATGGGTAATTCTTTCCTGTGTGGCTCCGCCCTGTGCATTGTGGGGTGATCAGCAACACCCCTGGCCTGTTCGCACCAGATGCCAGTAGCATGACCTCCCCAAGTTGTGACAACCAAAAATGTCTCCAGCAACTTAAAAATGTTCTCTGGGGAACAAAATCACCCACCAGCAAGGCTAAATCAATTATGAACTATTTGTTGAGTGCACACTATAGTCAGACCTAATTTTTGTATTGATTTTTAGAGAGAGGAAGGGAAAGGGAGAGAAACATCGATGTGAGAGTGAGACATCAATCAGCTGCCTCCTGCATGCCCCCTACTGGGGATGGAGCCCACCAACCGGGCACGCACCCCAACCTGGAGGCAAGCCAGCAGCCCCTTGGCACATAGGGCGACACCCGACCAACTGAGCCACACCGTCCAGGGCTGGTCAGATGTCAATTTAATGAGCGCTATGCAGGTTGCTGCACACCATTCTGACACTTCACCTGCCATAAAATCCACAGCCACTTAACAACCCAGTGACACTGGTGTTATTAATATGCCCATTTTATAGGCGAAGACCCTAAGCCTGAGATCGTGAAATCGCTTACACGAGTTGTCGGCCAGTTCTACTAGAGGATCCCTGTTGTAAATCTGGTCTGGTTCCAAAGCCAGTGGGTTTTGCCACCAGGATTTACATCTGATGATGCATATACTATGCCACTGGTAATGTGCCTCAGGGTTCTAATTGTAAATTTAAACAATAATTTTCACAAAGCCACTTGAAAAAATCCTGCTCTTCCTGAAACAAAATGTTTAGTAGATCAAATGTTCAGTAGATCACTTTAGATGTTGACTTTCCACGCTTGCCCTGAACAGGGTTTCAAATTATAAAATCTTGTAACATTTCTAAGTGCTTCCCACTTTCAAGTTCCTTAATTCTTTTAACCTTTTTTTTTTTTTTAATTAGTAGTAGTGGCTATAGCATCATACAAATGCAGTGACTTTTGAAAACTCTCTAAGAATAAAATCCACCAAACTTTTCAGACCCTCCTCTTCTTTTTAAATTTTGCGTGCCTGGTATACAAATCCACATCCGAGTCATTAAAATGTCATCAAGACTCTTGCCCGATACGGGAGCCCTTACCCTTTTCCTTGCTGTGCCGCACAGCGGAGTGAAGCAGCCCCTTGGCTCATTCAACGCTGACCTGTGCGTTCACACTCCAAGCCCCGGGGAGGGCATTTAGGGCAGGTGTGGTGCTGAGAGGGGAGCTAACGCTTACAGAGCACTTACTATGCTTTCTCTGGGCCGAGCATTAATTAATGAAATCCGCGCCACAGCTCTGAGTGACGCTCCTCTCTCATTTTACGAATATGAAAATGCTGGCAAGAAGCTGGGCGAGAAAAAGAGCGAGCAGCCGAGCTGAGGCTGGAACCCGGGCTCTCGGCCGTGGACATCTGGGCCCCTTCGTCCACGCGATGCCACCAGGTGCTCGGGAAGAGACCAGGATGGCCCCCGGTGTGACTGGGGAGAGAGACACGCACCCGAGGGACAGCCATGCCCACGGCTGAGAGGAGCACAGACAGAGAGCAGAGGCGGAGAGACCCATTCCGGCGGGGTGACCGGGGAGCCCCCCAGAGGGAGACGTTCAGGTTGGGCCTTGGAAGGTGAAGGCAAGAAAGGAAGAGATTCCGAAACCAGGAGCCGGACCAGCAAAGGTTCAGAAAATGCAAGGGATTGCTTTATACTCCAGAAAACTCCAGAAACCAGGGCCGCCTGGAAGATGGCTGGTGAACAGACGTAAGAACATCCAGAGCGAGACGATGGGCAAGGGCCGTGCCAGGGAGGCAGGGGACGGAGGGCAGGGTCCCTAGGTCATGGCATGTAGGGAGTGATGGGGTTCAGGTCCCAGAGGATAATAGGTTATTACGCCCCTACAGTGAAGGGGGAACTTACTGGGATTGAGGGGAGAGGGATCTGTGAGGCCAGAGAGAGAGCAGGCGATCAGGGTTCATGTAAGTTCAGGCAAGGTGAGGTCTCGCAGAGCAGGGGGCCAAAGTCATTAATGGTGGCAGAGAAAAATAAAACAAAAACTAGTGACATAAAAACGGTATGGAAATTGTTTAAGACCCTAGCTTTGTGACTTAGTAAGGATGTGACTGGAAGGCTGCTAACCTTTCTAGGCTTCTGATAGTTCCCTATTAAAGGGGCAGCACCCGGTGAGAGTCAGGAGCCTGGTCTGCAGGGCCAGGCTGCCTGGGTTCAAAGTTCATTCCCGTCACTTCTTACTTGAGCAGTTTATTTCACTATTTATGCTTCATTCCTCATCAACAAAAGAGGGATATTAAAAGAACCTATGATATTTTACAAGTAAAGCACCCAGGAGAATGTCTGGCGTGACCTAAGCATTTAAGGGGTGTTAGGACTCATACAGTGATAATATTACTATATTATATTTTGTAGGATTTCTCTGAAGCTAAGTGAAATAATGCACCTGAAAGGTTTGACGTGTGCCTGACAAATATGAAAATGAATCCATAAAGGTGTCAGTCAAGTAGAAATTATTATGGCCAATCATTATTGAATTGTTAATGTGTACCAGTCACTGTTCTGGATTCTCATTTTCAACTAACAACCACAATATCAAGAAGCTCCAACACTATCCTTATTTCATAGATAAAATAACCATGTGCCACTGAGTTAAATAACTTGGAAGGTCACATGAGTGCTAGGCGGAGCACTATGTTT